TTCATCACATCATATCAAGGGTATGTACTCTCGAGGTGATTCTTGATTATTAAAGTTTACCTTGGTCACCTGGCCAAGGTAGTGTTTGTCTGACTATAAAATTACTCTTCATCTCCCCTCTCTATACTGTAGTTTTTGAAAACTAGTTACGATGTACAGCCCACATTTAAGGGGCGAAGAGTCATGTTCCCCTGCTCTAGGGTAGAATGTCGGTGTAACTTACTAGGAATTCTTCTGCATGGGAGACTTGTCTCTTCTCCCCCATGTATTTCTTTATTAAGTTATTTGTTTAGATCTATATAGATTCATGAATATTTATTTTTTACTTTGAGTTATAATCCAATACTACTCTATTTTGTTGCTCAAGTATTTCCAGCTTTGACTGTTGCGAGCTCCTGTGTACCTTTGACATGCTCCCATCAGTGAGGGAAGGGTGTTTTTTTGTTGTTTTTGTTTTTGCTTTTAGCATTTTCTTACTTTCTGTGACTATAAGATGCTCCCGGCTTATCTTCAATATTTACTGTCTCAGTCCTAGACGCAGTCATTTCTCCAAGGATCCCTGGTTCCTCTTCCTGGAGAATGTACTAGAAACCAAGATTTTGGTCTAAGTGTACTTGTTTCTACTAGGGTGTTATTTCTTTTAGGACTTCTCAGCTGATAGAGCAAAGAAACGTGTGTGGGTGTTGTGTGATAACCCAGTTATATATACCTATCTGTAAATATTTGTATATGTAATCTGTCATCTGTAGATACAAGTAGTAAGTTAAACATGAGTTCTTATGTCTCCAACTATAATCCATTATCACATGATGAAAATGTTGATGACTTTGCTGATCTACAAATTTCCACTTCCACAGTGAGAAACTTGGTTTCTACCATCTGCCATACATTTATTTAGTTAACTTCCAGTGTACATGTATGAAAGTGTCAGAATTGCTAGTCCTTCCACATTTTTGTTTCATTTTATTATGTTCTTGGATTAAACATTTTCAGCTTCTTTGACCATTTTACGCTACACGCCCTCCTGTTCATCCTCTATCAGTTCTGAGTCTGTGGTTTCCCTTTTTTCATGGGAAATGAGCAGGGATCACTATTTCCATTTTGTAGCTGAGGAAAATGAACTCTAGCAAACACACTTAAAATACGCAAGGCACTATATACATATTGAGTCACTGAATCCTCACAGTAACCCTATGAGATTGATACTGATATTATTCGGACATTGCATTAGAAAAGGTTAATAACTTGCCCAAATTCAAACAATTAATGAGTGATAGAGCTGGGATTCACAATGAAAGCATTCAGAGCACATACCCATGGCGTGACTTTATGTCACATTGCTGCTGAAGAGATCTTTCTGAAATACTGCTTTGCACATGCAACTCTCAGTCATACAAACTGTCAGTGGTTCACTGTTGCCCATAGGATGCAGAGCAAGCATCTTAGCTTAGTTTCCAGTGTTTGCCATAATCCACAGTCAATCTCACAACAACAGCATGAGCAATGAAGAGAACCCTGCATGCTACCTTTCCTCTCAGTTAAAGCCCAGACCAAGACCCACCCATTCTGGAAGACAGCCTCTCCACCACCGTCCTCCTGGATTCACTGCATTCACAGAGATCTCTTTCTTCTTTGTTGACCCTCATTGCCCAAGCCCTTTGTGTGTTATTTGGTCTGGGTTGTACTTTGTATTAACAAAGTACTTTTCCGTTTATCTGTCCAATCTCCCTAAGCATCCTCAATACCAGCTTGTTATTGACAGTGTTTCAATCCCTACAAAGCTACTTAATATCCAGCTGAAATAACATCACTGCTGTTGGATTGTGGATTAAGAATAAAATGAAACTCTACCAAAAAAATAAATAAATAAACATAAACATACCCAGGTTGTAATGACCTCTAGAGGGTGGTAGCTTAATACTTTGAATAACTTTCCTTATTTTTTTTAAACTGGAAAATTCTGCCCGAATCTTGCCTTGTATAGTGCTTATTTTTTCTTTTTCTGCCTCCTTCTATTCACAGCCATTTTTAAATGCAGTATTTTCTCATATTGATATTATATTTTCCAAGCATCAACTGGTTTTTTCCTCTATATCCTATTATGAACTTATTTACTTTCTTGTTGGATTTCACAAATAAAAGAATACTGTTCCAAAAAAAAAAAAAGAAAACCTGTAGTTAGCACTGGCCCTGCAATTTTGTGGTTATTATTTAGGATGAGATGTAAGTAAAAAAATAAAATGGAGTGTGAGTACTACGTAGCTATGTCAAAAATCGTGCTGGTGGCTCTGAAATGACTCAAGTTTAGCAAACAACAGGCTACAGTTTGAATCTAAGTTCTGGTCTTGGTTGTAAATTCAGGGATTCTCCTTTTTCTAGATGTCGCTTTTTTTTTTTTTTTTTTATTTTTTTTTTAGCCAAAGCTGAGACACAGCTGGGGCCAGCCTCAGTGGAGATTCAGTGGAATTTTTGATTGTGATATTTGCTCAGATATCATCATTGTCCATTCCATAGGCAAATCCTGCATATAGCATATGTTAACAACTTAACGTGATCTGAGATCATGGCCCGTGCTCTGCACAATCCCTTCTCCCTCAGACCACTTCCTTATTCCAGGAAATCAAGTTTGACTATTCTAAATAGGACTCATCATTCCAGCTGTGTGGAGACCTTAGCTGTGCTGGCTGATAGTGAATAGAAGAGTTTGCCTAGTTGCCATTTCAATGTGGCCAAGTTTACAGAAGTGAGGCTGGCCCCAGCTGTGTCTCAGCTTTGGATTTAAAAAAGGAGAGTCTGGAAAAAGGAGAAGCCTTGGGTTTACTTCCAAGACCAGCTTAGATTCAAGCTGTAGTCTGTTGTTTGCTAACCTTTGGTCATTTCAATGTCACTAGCATGATTTTTGACATATCTACATAGCACTCGTGCTCCATTTTATTTTTTTTACTTACATAATAATCTCATCCTAAATAATAACCACCGCAAAATTACAGAGTCAGTGCTGATTTCAGTTTTTCAGTTGGGTGTTAAAATAAATGCACAGTCATTAGTTACTGTTTATCTGTGTACTGCATACAACTATGTCATTTTCCTCTGTGATGTGCTTACCACCCTTTGGGACTCACTGCTCTGGCGTTTTGGTCTTCTCTTCCCCACTCCCTTCTAGATGTGAAGTCTCTTCTGATCAGGTCACTGGTGTTCAGACTGGGTGCCTGTGTTCTGGTGGATTCCACCACGGCACCTTCAGAGCCACACTGAGGGTTAAAAAAGTTCTGAGCAAGACTATGGGCATTCCTTTTCTAAAGAGAAAGAGCAGCTCAGCTTTTATTCCCCACCATATCTAGGGCCTATAATTAAGATTTTGTTTGAAGAAAGGGTTATGTCACTGGGCACGGTGGTTCACGCCTGTAATTCCAGCACTTTGGGAGGCAGAAGTGAGAGGATTGCCTGAGCCCAGGTGTTCAAGGCCAGCCTCAGCAACTTGGCAAGATCTCATCTCTATAATAAATTAAAAAATTAACCAGGCATGGTGGTGTGCGACTGTAGTTCCAGCTACTTGGAAGGCTGAGGCAGAAGGATCACCTGAGCCCATCAGGTTGAGGCTGCAGTAGTTGTGAGCATGCCACTGCAGCCTCAACCTGCTGGGCTCCGGTGATCCTTCTGCCTCAGCCTTCCAAGTAGCTGGAATTACAGGTGCGCGCTACCGCACCCTGCGAATTTTTTGACTTGTTGTAGAGATGAGCTCTCACCAAGTTGCCCAGGCGGGTCTCGAACCCACGGGCTCAGGCAATTCACTCACCTCAGCCTCCCAAGGCGCAGGATTATAGGCTGAGCCACCGAGCCTGGCTTCAAAACAATTTTTAAAAGAAAGGGTTATATCAAGGTATTCGCTTGTTTACTGTTGCTGTTTTGAGTGAGAAACCATAGGCCCAGCGAATTCCAGGATTAACATTTCCAGAAAGATAATTTGTTTGGGTAGTCATCATTTATATACGCCTTGAGTTGTTCGAGGAGCCTTTAGCTCTTCCTATCTCAGGCGCCAAGAGAGCTGGGTTCAGGTATATCTTGTTTATTGTAATGAAACAAAATGAATGTCCCTCTGGGATGAAGCCATGGCAAAAACTATACTAATTTCCTTCCACTTCACCCAGGTGGAGACGAAGCCTTTAGTGCAAGTACAGAAGCCATCTACCTATACCAAGAACCCCAGAATGACCCGACTCTTGCATAAGGTAGGAAGTGACGGTCAGCATCTTTTCTCTAGGAGAGAATGAGTGTAGGTGGATGGCCAGAGCAGCTTTAACCAGGTATTTTTGGTCAGCTCAGCATAGCGTGCTCTATCCACATCACCAAGACCCAGCTCCACACAATTTTAAATGTTGTTATTCGTTGATAGGCAGGTTGTCTCTTAATCAGTCAGCCAATCAATCGATACAGGAGGGTAGGGATCCAAGCAAGTGGGTCAAGTCAATAATGTAGGCTTAGAGGAAACGGGAGCTTATGCTGCACCAAGAAGATTTGCATTATATAGCAGGAAGAGTTTCCCCATGTTGGAGTGGTACACTATTGGACTGATAAGAATAATGGCCAGAACTTATGGAATACTCAGCATAGATGCACTCATTTACCTCACAAAAGCCTTATGAGGTCAGTTCCATTTTTGTCCCCGTGGTAGTGATGAAATTAATCATGTCTTAGAGATTGTCAGTGTGACCGGTTGAGGGTCAAGCTAGTAAGTGGTGAAGTGGGAATTTAAACCCAGAGCCCATGTGCCTGCTTATTCTGGGCCCTGGAATCTGCTTTTCTCTCCAAGAAGTCTACGAGTAGGTTTAGGCTCAGATTTGGGTTAGGTTCACCCCCGCTGTGGGGAAGGGACTAGAAGAAATGGCCCCTGGCGGAATTTTCTTGCTTGAGGCTTCTGTGACTTATTGTTTCTCCTTCTATAGAATATGAACACCAGCATAACTTCGCTCCCCTTTGTGGATCCCAAGGGAAAGAGGAATATGGTGAATTTCCCACATATTAGCAACAGAATCCTGCTGTATCAGGCGAGTACAGGGCAGTAGACATGCCCCTGAGCAGGTGAAATACCTGGTTTTAGTCCAACACCAAATTTAGAAAGGCCCAGGAAGCTGGGAAAAGGCACAGTCAGCTGGAGAGTTGGGTTCTAGTCCTGTTCTCACTCTTTACTATGAACATGAACTTCAGCAAAATAAGTCATTGACCGTCTCTTAGCTGCAAAATGGGCTCTTATTGGGCTGTCATGAGAATTCACCGACGAAAAGAAAAATGAAGTTCTAGTGTATAAATGGTAGAACCGTACAAAATATCATTTTCCTGCCATGTCCCCTACTTTTTCTGGGTAAGGACCAAAATGTGATAATACACGGCAAACTGCCAAGTTAAAGAGGTGTTATACACACGTAAGTTCAAGTTCATGTGCCCCTGGGCAAGTTACTTTATCTAGTTGGGAGCTGGCCTTTTCGAGAGCAGTGGTAAAATCTGCTCTCATTTCTCCTTACTGGGAGACATCACTGGGACTGTTTACTGCATACAGTCATGTACAGGAACTTCCAGGGAATACTGTGAGTCAGACAGATACAGCCTTTGTGAGAAAGATCGAGAAAACCTACAATCTCTTAATTACTGGCTTCTTCCTAGAGAGATAGGCAAAGAGCCTGGCTGGATGTGTGTGACCTTGGTCAGATAAATGGTTTATGACCCCCAGGAGTGGCTTAAGTAGTTCTTTATTGCAAACCTCTTTTCCTGGACAGGAGAATCGAGTTCAAAATAAGATCTCGGCCTCTGAGCTCAAGGCTTTGGAAATACCTTTCCACTCTAGCATTAAAACTCAAGATCTCAACACAGAGGAGAAATCACCCAGGAAGCACAAGGTGCCTCTGACAGCGGCAGGTATGGCTTTGGACAGTAGTGGGGTGGGGGGTGGTGATGGATGGTCGGGGGGGTCGAGTTGAGCTGGAGAGGGCTGAGCTGCCAGGCGCTGGAGTAGTCAATGGAGGCCACAAGCTGAAATGAAAGAAGTTAAGTCTTCAGTCCCCTCCCGTGACAGTGTACACAAAGGGCTAAGGAAGAGAATGCACCAGCTCTGTTTCCCCCATGAACTGCACTGGACAAGGGTCAGAGGTATCAGTGCACACAGAGAGAATGGTCTCACTGCCTAGGAGCTCCCTTCAGAGACTGCGATGTGCTGGCTGGGCACCCCCGATGAAGCCTGCCAGGTAAAGCCTTTGCAATTGCCTGTGGTCAGGCCTGAGAGATCGCACGTAGGTTTCTGGCCAGGAGCCAGACTCCTCAGGGGGTTCAGAGGCTCACAACCTAGGAGGATTCAAAGGAAGAGGACCCAAATCCAGGGAGCAGCCGTGATCTGCCAGCGTGGTCCAATGGTGCATTTCTTCTGCCACAGCTTCGAAATGGAAATTGTTGCCCTCCCTCTTCTTACCCAATCTCAGGAACCAACCATGAGGCGCTAATTCCAGTTCTGAGCTCGTTCTCGCTTTACAGAGTTGACATCTGCCTCCCTGCTATCTTAGGCCTTGGTTTTGTCCTCTGGACAAAGTACGAGGGTGGACTCCCTCAAATAAACCGGAATTGCTTTTTGAAGGGGGGACCCCCATAAAACCAGAATTACGTTTTGAAGGGCAGGCCCCTTGTAGTACAGGCTTCCCCCACTAGGTAAATGTTCTAGGAACCCACTGGCATCGGTATGCCAGCTAGCATTGTTGTGAGAGGCTGCGCTCAGCTTCAGCAAATTGTTTTTGTAGATGCTTTCAACACACTTGCCCATTTTGTGATGGGTGATTTACAAGCACACCTGCCCACGCCGTGCTGAGGGTTCAGCAGTTTTGACCAAAGACGGCATGACCCCCTGCCCCACCCTCCCTATTCACCACAGCTCACCCCAGAGACTTTTCTTTAGTTTCTCCGGATGAAGAAAGCCCTCAGAGGAAAACGTTTTGCTCATGTGGAAGAGGTGAAACAAAAAACAGCACAAGCCCTAAAAGGCGTCAAAAGTGACCGAGTTCAAAAATGGTTTTGAGCAGTGGAGAGAGCATCTCACTAGGTGTATTGCATCAAACGAAGAGTACTTTGAAGGTGACTGATGTTTAAATATGTAAGAATAAATCCACAATTTTTAATAAATCTGTTTGTTTGGGTTCCCCCTCATACATGCCTTATTCCCCGTCCCATGGCAGCCCTTAACACATATGAATACAGAGGACTTGTCCTTTCTAAGTCTTTTTTTTTTAACCTCACAGTTCCTTCTTGAACTCTTCACCAATTAGTCAAATAACATAGTGCCCCCTGCTCTAATCCTGGTTTCTCTCCTCTGAGCATTCCTCGGCTTATTGAAATGTGATTTTTTTTCCCCTGGCCGAACACCAGAGCCCTGAAGTAAACTGGCCAGAGTCGCATACTAACACACATTCCCTCTTTGCAGCCTAAAGTACTCCCTGGCTCAGTTGCAGATTTGAGGGGGAAACCTCCTGGGCCTTCATGTTGCCTGTCCGGCCCTGAAGACATTACAGTATTCAAAGCCTCTTAAGCAGGCCGGGCGCAGTGGCTCAAGCCTGTAATCCCAGCACTTTGGGAGGCCAAGATGAGAGGATTGCCTGAGCCCATGGGTTCGAGACCAACCAGGGAGCGCTTGGCGAGATCTCATCTCTACAATAAGTTAAAAAAACTAGCCAGGCGTAGTAGCGTGTGCCTGTAGTTCTGGCTACTTGGAAGGCTGAGGCAGAAGGATTGCGGAGCCCAGCAGGTCGAGGCTGCGGTGGCTGTGTGTGTGCCACTGCACTCCAGTCTGGGCAACAGAGTGAGACTCCAACTCAAAAAAAAAAAAAAAAAAAAAAACAGCCTCTTAAGCTAGGTTAGTTGTGCAGCCTAATTCCACATTAACTTGGCAAATCCCCCTATAAGCTTACAATACTGTCGACACTAAGTTTACTCCTGGAAATTTTTTCCCCACGCTGCTCTAACCACAGGTCTTTGGGGATTCAATTCTCCCTTTCCCTACCTTTGTGTCTTCTTCCTGATTTGTCAAAATAAATCCAAGACCTTGACATTTATCCTTGTCACATTTCTACCTTGCGAGAGTCCAGGTGTGTGGTCCTCAGAGAGCCACAAAGCTGAGGAAAAGGCCGACTGGCTGGTCAGCTACAAGGGAGGCCATCAACGGTGTCAGGGGCCAATCCTATATTGCCTCAACTTAACTGACAACTGTGGTGTTTTTCACACAGAGGCTCTAAAGCTTTTTAAGAATCAGCTGTCTCCTTATGAGCAAAGTGAAATTCTGGGCTACAGGGAGCTGTGGTTCCTGGGGCTTAAAGCCGAGAAGCTCAACGTGGTTCCTGAAAAGTTCAGCCTGACAAGCTTTGATGATGAGCACGGCTCCTACATGAAGGTGATGGGAGAGAGCATGGGCATACCGGGGGACTTGGGGACAAGAGATAGTCTGGAAAGGAGAAAAACAGAGGGGTTTTGTTGTAGTTGATGTATCCTGAAGGATTCTGGTGGGTGCAAAGCCAGAGAATTCCATATTTAAAAACGAGAAATATGCTATCAATTATGCAAAAGATTCTGCTCAGGGCAGACTGACTTTCCCCAAGAGTATCTGGGGTCACAGCTTTGCATCCGGGGTGAGCTCCCACAGACTCCTTCTCTGCACAGCCCATTGGAAAAGGCCACACTGTCCCCAACAGTCCCTTTTTTGTCCCCTCCATACAGGCCCATACATGGATCCTTTTCTATCATATAATAGATGTCACTGCCCCCCTTCCCAGTGGGGCAGATAAAAACAGTTATTTGTCACCACAGTCCCTAGTGCAACATGCTTAATTTTATTCTGTTTTCCAAAAATTGTTTCTAAGAACTCCTCCTCCTCTCCTTTTGACTGTATACTGGGGTTCCCCAGGATAGGGCCTCTTCCCAGCCTGAAGATGGAGATTGAGCCATGATGCCCGTGGCTGAGCATGTCTGGATGTGTGATGCTTAGCTTGTTAGGCAGTGGGTTGTCAGGAATGTCCTCTCCTGGACAATTTATCACAACCTGACTCTGGGAGACAAGATGAGTCTCTGATGACTTTGTAGAAGTGGATTTTATTAGTAGCATTTAGGGTGGTGTTTCTCAAGCCCTGCTATGCACTCAGATCACTTGGAGAAATGCAGATTCTTATTCAGCATGCCTGGCATGGGGCCCGAGATTGTGCATTCTGCAAAGCTTCCAGGTGATGCTCATGCTACTGGTCCTCAGACTCACACATTGAGAAGCAAGGCTTTAGTTCCTGTTGCACAATCGCCATCTAGAGCCTGGGTTTCTCAACATTTTTAGGTCAAGGATCCCTTTGGGAGTCAAAAAAAGAAAGAAAGAAAGGAAAAGCTATGGATCTTCATTCCAGAAAAGGCAACCCAGACCTACACAAAGTTTCAGAGAATTCATGGGCCCTTGATTAAGAATCCCCAATATGGCCGGGTGCGGTGGCTCATGCCTATAATCCCAGCACTTTGGGAGGTTGAGATGAGTGGATTGCCTGAGCCCGTGGGTTTGAGACCCACCTGAGTAATTTGGCAAGATGTCATCTCTACAATAAATCAAAAAATTAGCCAGGCATCATGGCACATGCCTGTAGTCCCAGCTACTTGGAAGGTTGAGGTGGAAGGATGAACTGAGTCCAGCAGGTTGAGGCTGCGGTGGCCGTGAGCATGCCACTGCTCTCCAGCCTGAGCAACAGAGTGAGACTTTG